TTACATTTTATTTGAAGAAAGAAAGTTGATATTCGATTAGCAGCACATTTAGCTCAACTCCCACGCTAGAAAATGAAGATTAGGACTTGAGCAAAAGCTTTTTTTATAATTAAAACTAATACTCTAGAGATAACAATTTTCTAGTTTAACGCATTTAGATAAAAATAATTGAGTTAACCTATGTGGTAATACGTGATTACAATGTTACCCTCCTTGAAAATGAAAAAGATGGTGGCAACCGTTGGAATGCTTCCCAATCCATTGATCTCCGTAATTTTGTTGATAACCTAGGCCTACATTACCCTGGTTATCAAGGTGATCAATTTACCTGGACAAACAAACGAATGGGTAATGCTTGCATTAGGGAGAGGTTGGATAGGGCACTTTGCTCCCATAATTGGATTGACCGCTTCCTGATACTCTTGTCAAGCATTTCACGGATCAGGGATCGGATCATCGGGTGCTGCTTCTTTATGACAAGACTTATATCCGAAATAGTCGTCCCCTTTTTCGTTTTGATGCTCGGTGGGCGAAAAACCTAGAGATTAGAGCCATGATGAATTATGTTTGCCAAGAGGCAATCGAGGGTTCTCCAATGTTCCGACTTTGGGTGAGGTTTAAGAAACTTTGTCATCTACTCTATGATTGGAGTAGGGTGTGCGGGTACTACGAACTCCTTACACAACATCAATACCCTCTAGGCTGAGATAGCTCGGATAAAGTTAATTCAACCAATCAAATGGGATGAAATACGGATCCTGGAATCGGAGTTAAGTAGACAATGGGAGGCAGAGGAAGTTATTGGCAGCAGAAATCTCGAGTTCGGTGGTTGAAAAAGGGTGATAAAAATACATCATATTTTCATACGGTTACGAGAGCGCGTAGGAAAAGAAATTTTGTAGTCGGCCTCCGTAATGATAATGGAGAATGGATTACTGAAGAGAAAGGGAAGGCGGACATTGCTACTAGTTTCTATCACACTCTCTTCACCTCTTAGAACCTGGTTGTTAATATGACGGAGCGGGTGGTTGGGCTTCCCATTTCACAGAGTTACACCAGAAATGAACGCCAGTCTAACGGCTGATGTCCTCCCTAGTGATGTTAGGAGAACAGTCTTTTCCATGGGTTCAAAACAGTCCCCTGGTACGGATGGATTTACGGGAAAATTCTTTAAGGCATTATGGGACATTGTCGGTGACTCAGTCATCAAAGCGGTCTGCTCGTTCTTTACAATGAGTAGGATGCTCTGGAGTTTTAACCATACTTGGCTAACATTAATCCCAAAGGTGGATAATGTTGAGAACATGAGACAGCTCCGTCCTATCAGTTTATGCCAGTTTGTTTATCAGGTGATTACCAAGATCATGGCGGAACGGTTGGCCTGCGTTCTACCTCAGATCATCTCGGATGGATAGAATGCTTTCATTCGTGAACGGCAAATTATGGAAAATATCCTAATTGGGCATGAGTTAATGCACTACATGAAGATCAAAACGCGAGGGAAGAAAGATTATATGGGTCTAAAGGTTGACATGGAAAAGGCCTATGATAGAGTCGAATCGCCTTTTCTTCTTGCGGTGTTGGATAAAATGGGCTTTAATTCCATGTGGAAAGGATGGATACAGGAATGCCTGAGGTCGACGTCATTTTCAGTTCTCATGAATGGGACCCCATCAGGGTTCTTCTCACCTTCTAGGGGCCTCCGGCAATGGGATCCTTTGTCTCCTCTCCTCTTCGTCATTTGTACGGAGGGATTTGCGGAGCTCCTTCAGAAAGCCATTGTTGAGGGCAGGTTGGAAGGGGTGAAGGTGGCTTTGCGTGCTCCTCGTATCTCACTTTTGTTCTTTGCCGATGATTCTAATTTATTCCTTCGAGGGTCCTTTCGGGAATTTGAGAATTTAATCGAGGTCCTGAACGAGTACGAGGAGCTTAGTGACCAGAGGGTGAACCTGGGGAAAAGCACAGTGTACTTTAGTAAGAACATCGCTCTGCCAGATCAGGAATTCTTGGCTCAAATTTTGGGAGTAGGGGCGGTAGGATTCCATGATTAGTACCCAGGGCGTCCCACCCTGATCTCCCGATCCAAAATGGCCCAGTTTCGGTATTTGGAGGGTAAAGTTTTGGAGCGACTACAGGGATGGAAGCGGCGGACTCTGTCTTGGGCAGCTAAAGAAACTTGGATTGAATCAATTGCTCTAACTTTGCCACTGCATATTATGTCCTGCTTTAAGTTGCCTCTCTCGCTCTGTTGACTACTGGACAAACATATGGCCCGTTTTAGAGGAAGGCCAATCTAGGATTCGTTGGATGTCCTGGCGTAATATGTGCAAAAGTAAACATGATGGGGATATGGGATTTTGTCGGTTTGAACATTTCAATCAGGCTCTTCTAGCCAAATTTGGATGGTGCATCCTAAATGAACCCCAATCCCTCTTGGCACAAGTTTAGAAAGGGAAATGCTTTCCCACTGGGACCTTCCTCACTACGAAGGGTCGATCTCGCCCATCCTGGGGTTGGCATAGTATCCTGTATGGTAGACAATCATTAGAAATGGGATTGTGATGGCAGATTGGTGATGGTCAGAAGGCATTATTAATCAATTCTAATTGGATTCCGCTACTGCACCCGTTCCCCTGCTATATTGCCCTAGGGTGCTTCCGCCTTCCGGAGGAGGGGGACCTTATGATGTCAGAGGTTTTCTGTCAGGGGGAAGGGCCTTGTGAAGAGAAGTTTAGCCAGTGGTTTGATCCGCCTACCTGTCGTGCCATTAAGGTTATTCCTCTTCCTCGTCAGAGTGTGGAGGATAGATTGATTTGGCATGCCACGGCTAACGAAATCTTCAGTGTCAAGTCGGCGTATCACTTTGCCGTCAAACTAGATCAACAACGAGGTAGATGGCGCTCTACGGCTAGTTGGGTGAACAGGGCCAGTTGGATTAGGTTATGGGACTCTAATATCCCGTCCAAGCTCAAAGTATTTGTCTGGAAAATCTTTAATCGAAGCCTTCCCACGATGGAAACCCTAATTGAGAAGGAAGTCCTAGTGCTTCCTAAATGTCCTGTTTGTTGGGCGGAGTCGGAGACTATGGAGCATCTGTTCCTGTATTGTCCGGTGGCGCGTGCTCTTTGGGATCACACTGGACTTGAGGCCCTCGGGCAAGGGTTTCCCCGTCAAACTTTCCCACTTTTCCTAAAAAGGTTTATCTCAATCGTAACTCAACCTTCTTTGTTCATGGTATTTGTTGTTGTCCTTTCGCAGATCTGGAGATCCCGTAACTGGGTGGTCTTTGAGGGTAAACAATTCTCGAATCTTGCCTTGATGCAACAGTTTAATCAACAGCTCCAGGAGTGGGTGACTTTGCCGGTGGATACACTGGTCCAGTCTGCTGCCCCTTCGATTAACAGCCTAGGGCCTGGTGCGTCTACTTTGGCCATTTGTATGTGGGATGGGGCAACTTGTCGTGGATCTCATTCGGCTGGTGGAATGGTTATTTTAGGCCCTGATAGGGCAGTCCTCTTGGTGGTTGGGATTCAGATTCCTTTGATGGATGACCCTCTGGTGGTAGAGTGTCTAGTCCTCAGAGAGGCCATTCTATGGTGCCTGGGACATGGTTTTACGGAAGTGCGGTTTGAAGGTGATGCTAAAATGGTCATTGATAAACTCATACGAGCGGATGCTCGTGATAATCGCATGGGGGCTATCCTGGAGAAAATTATGCGTCTTTTCGCTTTTTACTCTGGGCTTTCTGTTCGATTAGTAGGTCGAAGTAGTAATAGGGTAGCCCATTTGGTGGCTCGGAAAGCCATCGCATTGTACCCGACTACGAGTCGTTACTTTGATTTTCAGGCCTAGCTGAATTTCATAGTGTAATGATCTATTCTTTGAATCAATAGATGATTATCTTTTGTCTAAAAAAGTCAAAAATAACCGATGAGTTAATCTCTTGTGGTTATGTAAGCTCTAAAATTCTTATGTTTTGTTTTGAGGGCATATTGGGAAGCTCCTGCTACAATAAGTTACTTGTATAGGTGCGGCTATGCCCCTGATGCTGTGTATGTTCTATCTATATATTTCACGTCGCCTTTTTTCCATTATTAAAAAACTAGTGGGTCGAAATCAGTGGCGGATACATGCATGGTTAGGACACCCCTAAAATTTGGAAACACGATTATTCAACCTACGATAGTAATTTGCGTATGAGAAAAAATGATTATCCAATCTCCCGTAGTAGTTTGAGTATTGGTATAAATAATATTTAAGTAGTAGTTTATGTGATTTAAATTTGGGACACTGCCACTATTAGTTAATATATTTTCAATTACGCTACAACTCATTTGTTATTGTGTTTTAGATCCAAATATAATAGTAAAATATTATTCTTATCTCAAATTATTTTCAAAACCTAACGATTAAACTGAATTACGGGATATCCTAGTCTAGTAAGATATGTCGAGAGATATTTGTTGAGCAGTATAAACACCGAATGCATTTTATCATTTGATGAAACACGTCTGAACTTTTAATGAAACTTTATTAGTTAAATATTTTCATATTTAATAATTATTTAATTTAATTCTAATATTTAATATAATTTTTTATAGAGGACACACCTACGTAGAATTCCTGGATCCGCCACTGGTCGAAATGATGTTCTACTTAAAGAATTCCTCGAAAAGCGACATCATCGTCAGAATTGTCTTGCTCTGCTAGAGTATTTGCAAAATCAAGAGCAAATTTGTTTATTGTTAACGTGCTGCTAAATTAACGTGTGATTATTTAGCAGAGGCTTACCGTTTATCCATTATGGCATTAAGGCTTAAGCCCAGTGTTCTGAATGTCTTTTTTTTAGCTACACTTTACATAGAGAGTACATAACCATTTTCTCCAACCAACAATATGCTTACATACTTACATTTGATATGTTCTTATCGGTTATCATTTTTCTTTCCAATAGAAATATTTCAACTTTTGTGTGATTAATTTGATCATGGTTCATGTACCCAAGACAATAACTTGAAAAATTCCTTATCATCACATTTAACATTAATCAAGTAGTGAATTGGACATAAATTAGCATGATTACAAGCACAAACAGCAATGATCATACAAAATCCTTACAAATATATATAACCCTCCACCTATACTAACCATATAAACCACAAAAAAACAATCTTTGTCTACCCATGTCCCTCTTTGATCATTCCCCAAACTAATAAACAGCTCTACCGTCAATACGGACCACCGCAAACAAGAAGAAGAGACCAAAAATGAATCAAACAAAAAAGAACAGAGGAATTTCAGGGCAAAAATGAGAAACGAAATCCAAAAAACTCGGATCAATTGGAACAGCATGTTTTCTTGTTACCGTTACTGTTGAGATTCGCGACGTTAATGGTCTTCCCCTGCGGCACTCCAGAGGCATTGGCCGCTTCCTGAGCGGCCAGCGCCTTCTTGCTGATGATCTGATAAATGTCAAGCAAGATCGTCTGAAACGCCCTCTCGACGTTGAACGCCTCGAGCGCCGACGTCTCGAGGAACGAGAGCCCTTCCTTCTCCGCCAGCATCTGCGCGTCCTCCGCCGACACCGCCCTCAGGTGGTTCAAATCGGACTTGTTCCCGGCCATCATGATCACGATGTTCGAGTCCGCGTGGTCGCGCAGCTCGCGCAGCCACCGCTGCACGTTGTCGAAGGTCTGCCGCTTCGTGATGTCGTAGACAAGCAGCGCACCCACGGCTCCTCTGTAGTACGCGCTCGTGATTGCTCTGTACCTCTCTTGCCCCGCCGTGTCCCATATCTGCGCCTTCACCGTTTTCCCTTCTACCTGTTTTTTTTTTTTTTTCAATTTCGGGGAGAAAAGGTGGAAAATTGATGAATTCCCAGAAATCAGAATCGGATTCCATAACCAGATCAGACGAAGAATCGAAAAAAGTTTGAACGAATACCTGGAGGGTCCTGGTGGCGAATTCGACGCCGATGGTGGATTTGGATTCGAGGCAGAACTCGTTGCGGGTGAATCTGGAGAGGATGTTGGATTTGCCGACGCCGGAATCGCCGATCAGGACGATCTTGAAGAGGTAATCGTACTCATGATCCACTTTGTATGCCATTTTATGGATGCTCTGTTTCTGGGTTCAACCGGCCAAACCTGGCGACAGCGGGAAACCAAAAAACAGAATCAGGGGAGGAAATGTAAGAACAGGCGGGGAAGAAGTTCAGCAGGGGGGAAATACCATAAAATTATGGCGGAAAAAAAGTTTGACGCTTGTCGGTGTTTTTGAATTTCTTTTGTCTATTGGATTTTGGTTGTTTCCATGTTTTGTTTTGTTGTTCCACCTGAGAGAGAAGTTGAGAGGCTGGAGGCAGGGGAAGAGAGAGAAAGAGAGGAGGAAGAAAACCCATGGCCATGAAAATAAGGGACGAAAGGGCATACGAAACGGCTGTTTGTTTGGATTTAGGAGCGAAATTTGGGGGGTTTGGGTATTCATGGGCCGCGGGCTTGTCCTCTTGGATGGACTTAAGCCTCAGAGCCCAAGTAAGGGATTCCGAGCCCGTGTACGAAAAAACTCTATAGAACAGGTCCATCTAAGAGAATCCAATTTAAATTTCGTGGAGTCAGTGGCGGACTCAGAAATTTTAGATAGGAGTGTCATCTTTCAAAAAATAAAGTAAAATAAAAATTATATAATTAATAATTAATAAAAATTATATAATTCTGAAATAAGAAAATATCCACTCGTACAAGGTTAAAAAAAGTCAATGATGTATTTTCATATTCTAAAAAAATTATAAAATACATTTGGTGTCTACACTGCTCAACAAATTTGTCTCGGTATATCCTAGACAATTATTCACGAACTGACACATATTTGACTTCTAAATTTGTTCTTGATGTAACTCAAAGCTGAAAAGACACTTTCAACACTTGTCGTACAACCATAAATTCCAGATAGTGAATAGGGTTTTGCTACAGTGTTTAGAATAGAACAACAAAAAAGTTGTAGTCTAATGGAAATTATATTTATTAGTAGTAGTAGTAGTGTCTGGGTTTGAATTACCCAAACTACCACTGATATTCCCATACCCAAACTACAAATGAGAGTAGGATAATCGTTTTTTCAAATTTCAGGGTGTCCCGGACTATTAATTATAATTTTGTTTTTGTTTATACGTATATTACCACCGGGGGTTGTATAATCGATCTTCCAAAATTTAGGGGTGTCCCGAAATGCCCCTGGATCCGCCCCTACATGGAGGAGTTTGGTTAAAATCTTATACCCTCATTGCCTCATTGGAAGGTTGAGGGCATTCTTATTTTTTTGGTAGAAGACAGACGCTAAAGCGTTCTAGATCATCTCATTAATATCGCGACACAAGGAAACAAAGTTGTCATACAAGAGCTAGTAGCACAAGTTCGGGTCGCTCACATCGAACAAATGTGTGCCAAAAGTAAGGGAGTGCCCCTTAGAAGCTAAGAAGTCAGCTGAAAAATTACCCTCCCGAAATACATGGTTAATTTCAACAACCCACTCCCTAGAAAGAATGCTCTCAAAGAGCTTAGCAACGTGACCATGACAATGATCACTATTACTTCTACTTCTAATAATAGCTAACGCAGTAGTAGAGTCAAGGTTGAGCTTCACTCTTCTATGACCAAGCTGCCAGACCATTTCCAGCCCTTCCACAGCTCCTTTCAATCCAACTCGAGTGATGGTGCACCTCTCGATATTGCTAGCAAACTCCCCCAAACATCTTCCTAGGTGGTCTCGAATGAGGCCCCCTACAGCAGCATGACCAGAAGGTTGGACAACTGATCCATCAGTTTGAACCTGAACCTAGCCTTCATTTGGAGGTTTCCAGGCAATCTCGAGTCTGGATTTGGTCTTGTGCATAGGTGCGAGGCATTTCTCAACATTAATCAGAGCTTGGCTGTTGATGTTGATCCAAGCATTCACCCTCTGAATCAGACCAGCTTCCGAGTAGGTCTTGCCATTCATTGCTTCTTCATTTCGTTGTTTCCACAGGTTCCAGCAAATTATGCCAAAATCAATACCTGTCAGAGAATATGCTCTGTTGTTTCTTTCGTTGTTCTGCAGTGGTTGCACATTCCATCTTCAGTAAGCTTTCTCTTTTCTCTTTCCTTGTTTGTGAGTAGTCTGTTGTGGTTTGCCAGCCACAGGAAATGCTTGATACAGTCGAGACCCTTCCATCTCCACATGTCTCTCCATGCATCATGGAGTGTTGTCCACATCTTCTGCCACCAGTGAGTAGGCTGACTTGAGCCTGAACCTGCCCTCCTTCTCGATTCCCCAGATTGTTCGATCCTCTCCCAGCTCAGAGTTAGCCATATTTGTCCCTGCAATAAGAAAGATCATCTCATTAGGGAGGTATACCCTCATCCTATCCTAGTCCCACTCATCTGAATCATCAGTCCAACTAGGACTGATGCACTTCGTTCTTCTTCAGTAAGCTCTTTCAGGGCAAACTCCTCCAGGATCAGACCATTCTCCACCCAGGGATGGGTCTTGAACCCAGTTGTGTCCCCATTTCTGACGCTCCATTGAGTGGCATGTTTCATGTAGGGTATTGCTTTAATAATTACCTTCCAAAGACTAGCTAGAATGATTACTACTCTGCATTTTTGTTATTATGCCATTCTTATGATGAAAGTATTTTCCCTGTAACACTTTTAACCCACAGATCTTGTTCATTGTTAAAAAGACTCCAAGCAAGCTTAACCAAGTACACTAAGTTCAAACTCCTAGCATACCTAAGATCAAGCCCCCTGGTCTTTAGGCTTACACACAGAGTCCCAGGAAAGCAGGTGCACTTTCTTTTTACCCTCAACCGAACCTCAGACAAAGCCTTTGATTTTTTGGTCAATTAAATCACAGATGGAAAGAGGGATTATTGACGTTTGCATTGCATAGGAGGAAATGGAGCTAAGAACAGAGATAGCAAAAGTCACCCTCCTTGCCAATGAGAGGGATCTTGCCTTCCACAAGGAAAGCTTCCTATCCATCATCTCAAGGATGTACATGGATTATTTATAAGTTTTAGTAGTTTTTTCAAACTCGGTTATGAGTGAAGAATATATACTCTTTGCATTCAATTTATTAAAAGAAACTCGAGATGGTTTCAGACTCTCAGCATTATGTGATGATTCTTGGAGTTATTTTTGAAAATTTTCAAATGAGACCTTTTATTTTTGGACCGACTTAAGAATTATTGTCAGATGTTCAAAAATGATATAAAAAGCGTATTTTTCAACATATTCTACGGGAATTGAATCAGGTGACTGATGCGTTAGTGGGATTCGGACACGAATGTTTGACAAGCCAATGATTACATCAAACTTTGAAGCTACTTGGAGCTCTTCTTCTATTTTAAAAAACCCTTAGGATGTCATCACTATTATAAGAAAGAAAGAAAGAAAAATTCCAAGGGTGTGATTCTCACCAAAAATTAAAGAACAAAAGAAAGCACACATGTGCATCGTTCATATCAGTAAGCCGCACGAAACCCATACCAATGTTTGATAAGGTCTTCACCCCTGACCCCTCCTCTGCATGACTTTTGACTTTTGTCTCACTATCACTAATATACATATATACCTGGTCAAGCTTCGAGTTAGTATTCAATTCACTTCTGAAACCTTCTAATTAGACGACCATGGCGGCTCACTGACCATCCCAATCCTAATGAGTAATGAGGCAACTAATCATGACTCCTTCCTAATCAAGACCTCGAAGCTGATTATTGATTAGTTTCCTCGAAGCACCGGTCCGATTTGACCATGTCATAAATATACAAATAATGAGCAGGTGAACCCAATTATTTGTCTAATCAAATGGGTTATCATTAACATGATGTCAACGTCGACTACTCCGTTCATTCATATATAAAGACCCTTCAGCTATACTCTTAACACCTTGTACTGCAGGGCGCAGGCAGCTGCTTTCTTTCTTCACAACGTTCAATCCTATAGCTAGCTAGCTTGCAATTCCAATAATCATGGCAAGCAAGATTTATGCACCTTCTTCTTGTCTCTTCTTGCTCATCATGATAATTAGCACGGGACTGATTGGTTCTGGCGGTGCTGATCATGGCAACTCTGACCATGGAAAGGTAATTAATTAGGAACTCTAATATTGATTAGTACTCAAATTAGAAAGATATATAATCCACTTATTATTCATGTGTGTTTTGTGCAGTCTTATATAGTGTACATGGGCAACCGGCACGAAGGAGGTGAAGCCGCTGCTCAGTCTCTTCACTTGAACATGTTACAGCAAGCCATTGGCAGGTAATTACCATTAGCTTAAACCTATACTGTAATTAACATATCAGATTGTAACATTGAGGATGGGATTACCACTAATCACCGTGAAATAATGGGTTTTTTTCAGTGAATTTGCTTCGGAATCTCTTCTCCATAGCTTCAAGAGGACATTCAACGGGTTCGTAGCCCACCTCACCGACCACCAAGTCTCAAAGATCGCTGGTAATCACTCTTCTGTAATCACTACAACAGAAAAAGGGTATCAATTCGTCACTAAAGGATTTAGATTGGTCGCTAAGTATCGGCGACGAAAATATCGTCGCAAAATCTTGCTTTTCGTCACGTTATTTTCCATCGTCGCCAAAAAGGCATATGATCGGTATAATTACTTAAAAACTCTTTCGTTAATCATGCACAGGGATGCCAGAAGTTGTATCAGTGTTCCCCAACAAAATCAACAAGCTCCTAACCACAAGATCGTGGGACTTCATGGGCTTCTCTCAGCAACGAGCTCGGCGGACATCCCTGGAAAGTGACGTCATCATAGGAGTCTTCGACTCCGGGATCTGGCCGGCGTCGGAATCATTCGGCGACGATGGGCTCGGCCCTCCGCCGGCGAAGTGGAAGGGCTCGTGCCAGTTCCCTCCCAATAACTTCACCTGCAACAACAAGATCGTGGGGGCCAAATTCTACCGCACCAACAACGGCACGTTCTCCCCCGCCGACGTACGGTCGCCGGTGGACACCAACGGACACGGGACCCACGTGGCGGCCACAGCCGCAGGCAGCCTGGTTGGTGGGGCCAGCTTTTACGGGTTCGGCGAAGGTACTGTGATAAACCAACTGGTTTCAGTAACTCGATCTATAATTTTAATTTGTTTTATATATAGAATTTGTAATATAATTCAAATTAGAAATGTTCAACGATATCTTTTTTTTTTTTTAAAAGACATTATGTATTTTGCCCCAACATTCATGAAATTTATGATGGATTTATTAGTTTCTTTCTATGTACATAATAACATGATTACTTATACGAAAGTCGATTTATGAGTTTTGCACATGTTTTCTCATATCATATATTTTAAAACAATAATTAATATTGAGGATCTTGAGAACTTGAACATTTTTACGGACAAACCAAGTTATAATACTATATTATAAATCAACTGGTCCCAACAATTCGAACTGTCAGGACAGATACGTGATATTTAATCACTTTCTTACAGGTATGGCGCGTGGCGGGGTGCCGTCGGCTAGGATCGCCGTGTACAAGGTGTGCTGGGAGGGGAACTCGTGCTACGACGGCGACATACTGGCGGCTTTCGACGACGCCGTCGCCGACGGCGTGGATCTGATCTCGGTCTCCCTCGGGGCGGATATCAGCCGGGACCATTTCGAGGATCCGATAGCGATCGGGTCGTTTCACGCGATGAAGGAAGGGATACTGACCGTGGATTCGGCGGGGAACGACGGCGTTCAGGGGCTTTACACGGTCAGGAACTTCTCTCCGTGGTCGCTTTCCGTGGCGGCTACCGCCATTGACCGCCAGTTCTTCGCCCAAGTCCGATTGGGAAACAATCAAACTTTCCAAGTGAGTAGGTTTCCTTTCATTTTCTTAATGTCTTTTTTATTTTATTTTTATAATAGCCATATTTAACTAGCATATATTATCCCGAAACTAGGGCTGGCTATTTGGTCCAGACTGTTTGGTTTTACCCGAAACCGGACCGTATAACTCGAACCGGGACCGCACTGGGACCTGATAGCAAACAATCCAATCTCATATTCGGGCATAGATTTGAGGTAAAAAAAACCCGGATAAAGACCGGATAAGAGACCCCAACACTCAAATCCCCACAAGTTCAATCTAAAATCAAGATCAAATTGAGACCGGACTGTATCCAATCCCATCTTTGGTTCTTATATTACCGAAAAAACCGGACTGAAACCGGATAAATTTGGTTCAATTTAACCGGACCGGACCGTATAGCCACCCCTAGTTGAAACATGCTGACGTCGTTGAATCATCTTCGTGCATTCTAAATTGTTGAATTAGTGTGGTGATATAATTTAGAATATAATAATTTAGGGCCCATTCTGAAATTTTGGAGGCTTAGTTAGAGAAACTAAATAATATGGGTCTTGAAATTTTGGAGGTACGTAGATGTATCTTATACAAAAACTCAAAACTAAACCGACTAGCTAGTTCACTAGTCTTATAAGCCTAGACTCCAAATTTTGTGATGTTCCAAAACCAGTTTTTCTAGAAGCCAAAAACTAAATCCATAGTTTATATTATCCATTCAGTATTTTACATACAAACAAATAAAAACATCAAGATAAAGAACGAAATACAAGGTACGTCCGACTCGGAGTATTTTTAAATCGATATACTTTGAAGAGTAGTATCGAGTGTTGACTCAAAATATAAAGATATAAAGAATCATGTTTGAATTTTTTTTTAATGGGTATCAATTTCACATATTCGATAATTTATTTAATCGTTTTGATCTATTTGGTAATGTTAGGGCATCGCAATCAACACATTTGACATTGGGAACACTATGTACCCCATCATTTATGGAGGAGATGCCCCTAACATCAGTGGCAATTTCAGCAGCTCCATATCAAGGTTAGTTGTTGATTAGTAATATTACAAATAATTAGAGTATAGTTTAATTGATGATGCTTTAATACGTCAAATCAAAACTTAACTTTTCAACTGTACGTACAGGTTATGTGCAAACAACTCGTTGAATCCCGATTTAGTAAGAGGTAAAATTGTGTTGTGTGACTCCATAGTCGGCGCACTTGTCCCTGTTTTGGCCGGCGCGGTGGGTTCCATAGTCGCAACGGACCGTCCCGCCGGAGCACCGGCCGAGAATCCTCCGTCGCCGGTTTCAGTTTTGACTAGGCGTCAAGGTTCCACCATCCTAGCCTACATAAGATCCACAAGGTATACTAATCCAAATTAAAAATTACGACTTTACACGTGTTTAATTTGCTACAATAATTTTTCTTCCTAGGATTTGCTTGCTATATGCTGATATTATAAGACTAACCCAATGAATTCATAAGTTAGAAGTGACAATTTGAATATAGTACTATATATTTGTGTCAATTTAACATTTGAAATTATAACGTACGCGTTTAACTATTCGAATCAGCTCCAATTACAACTCCTAATTGTAGAATTTTTTTTCAATTTTTTTTGTTTTGTTTTAGGAATGCAACCGCTACTATATCAAAGAGCAACGTGTGGAAGGACGAACAAGCGCCTTATATTGCCTCATTTTCATCTCGAGGCCCAAATCCAGCCATCCTTGACATTCTTAAGGTACTTTTCTTTTGGCAAGTGTTGACATATTATGTTATATATAGAGTGATGTTCCTTACAACATCCTATAACATAATAATAATAATAATAATAATAATAATAATAATAATAATAATAATAATAATAATAATTAATGAAGCAATTGGATAAAATTTTCTCGGTTGCAACACAAAGTAGGGACTAGGGATGCATCAATTTGTTGAAGCAATGAGAATTATTTTGTTTTACATAGATTTGAATTGGCAGGAGGAGGGACAAGTATTTTGAAATGATGCATCAATTGTTATTAGAGAATTTTGAAATAATTCGATCAAATTGCCTCATTTTATAAATTCACCAACCAAACTACCCTTAAGTAATTCCATTTATTAATCATGTAAATCAAAATTCACCTATTTTCATACACACAACTTATTTCGCATTGGTTTTTTATGACTCTGTCGTGGGATAATTCCCTAAATACAGATAAAAATAAAATAAATCCCTAAACTACCACACTATAAAAAAAATTCCCAAAATACCTAAGTTTGGAGTTCGAGGAACTCGAACTACTAACCGGTTCGAGTGTAGGAGACTCGATATAGTCGTAGATCGATGATATAAGCCTCGAACCATGTGGGGGTGAAGTGGTTCGAGTTCAGTGAACTCGAACCACTCCTTTGAAATTTCCAACAACCTTAACTTTGTGCTCGTTTGGGAGTAACTTTAACTTTAATTTTCACATATATTCTGAAAATATTTATATTATAAAAGTTGTAGTCCTCGAAAAGTTATGTGAAATGAAAAAAAAAGTTTGGTACGATCGGATAACCGAGGACAAAGTTATGGTGATTGGAAATTTCAAAGTAGCACTTCAGCCCCACATGGTTCGATGCTTATATCATCGATTTACGTGTAGATCGAGTCTTCTACACTTGAACCGATTAGTAGTTCGAGTTCCTCAAACTCGAACCACTCCAAACTTAGGTATTTTGGGAATTTTTTTTTATAAGTGTGGTAGTTTAGGAATTTGTTTTAGTTTTATGGGTATTTAGGGAATTATCCCCTCTGTCGGCAAGTTTGTTGTTCGTTTCATTAATGATTAAGCAGTAATCTTGCACACATTTTCACAAGAAAAAAAAAAAATCATTCCACTCCACATTTTTACAAGCTAATCAATTGATTTTCTCATCAATATCGCTATAACATATTACGTTATCTTATAAACTAGTTTATCATTAGTCATTACGATTTCTCTTAAAAAAAACATAGGTTAACCAACGTACGTACGTTTGACTTAATTTGCATGCATGCAGCCGGACATATCAGCACCCGGAGTCAACGTCCTCGCCGCCTGGCCCCCAAACGCGCCAATCACTCCCTACCCAGCCGAAACCCGAACCTCTCGGTTCAACTTCCAGTACGGCACCTCAATGGCCTGCCCCCACGTCACCGGAGCCGCCGCCTACGTCAAATCGCACCACCCCGAATGGTCCCCCGCCGCCGTCAAATCCGCCATCATGACCACCGCGCTGCCCATGAGCCCCGAGGCCAACCCGGACGCCGAGTTCGCCTACGGCTCCGGCCACCTCAACCCGCTTGGCGCCATCGACCCCGGGCTAGTATACGACGCCGGGGAGCCCGACTATGTCAGGCTGCTGTGCGGGCAAGGGTACAACACCACGGCCGTGCGGATGATTGCGAGAGATAACTCGAGTTGTTGGGAGAGAGGAAACGGGACGGTGTGGGATTTTAACTACCCTTCCTTCGCGGTTTCGGCGACGGCTGAGGAGGTGGTGGCTAGGGTTTTTAATCGGGTGGTGACAAATGTTGGAGGGAGTGGGAATGCGAGTTATAGGGCGGTGGTGGAGTCGCCGGAAGGGGTTAGGGTTCGAGTGAGTCCTGGGGTGTTGGGGTTTAGAGCGGTGGGGGAGAGGTTGAGGTTTGTGGTGACGGTGGAAGGTGCGGTGGCGGCGAATTCGACGGTGTCCGGGTCGTTGGTTTGGGACGATGGTGTTCATAAGGTTAGGAGCCCGATTGTTGTGTTTGATTCGGCTATGTAGAAGGACATGGAGTTTTATGATAGTAAATTTTTGAAAGGTTTTAACCTCTTGGTGGTTAGAATGAGTTTATGTATATCATTTAACACAACCTCTTCGGATGCATAAAATTCATTGTTGTCTTTCATGGGTGCTAATCGGTTCGGTTTCGGTTAACCACTCACCGATAAGGCGGTTAGCAGTTACCCAATAAGCAAAAACCTCATACCGATAACCGTATCGATAAGTCTTTCGGTTAACCACCTTTTATCGGTTTGATTAGCGGTTAACCAATAATTACGAAAATACATTCCAACAAATATGATTATACCTCATCGAACCAACAACTTCAATTTTCTTTCACAAAATATAATAAACCGAAACATTAATCGCTTAAAATACACAAAATCATCAATCCATTTAAGTTTAACAAGTGTCATTTAACATCAATTTCAGCCCACAAACATAACAATGACCAAGAATACATAGTACTAAATATTAAAGACGAATCATCATACAACTAATTCAAAATAATTTATCCACATTTTTACATTATTAACATAAAATAATGATTATAAGAAATAATATCAATATAATACAATATTCATCACGATTCCGTAATTTAATCGAAATTCCAATGCATAATAGGTAGGAATTGAGATGTTTGGAATTGTGACTTTGGTGGTTTTGAATCTTGGTATTTTCCCCCTTAGCCAAAGTCCAAAACCGTGTAGTTATACTAGCAGGCGGTTATCGGTTTTCTTATCGATTAACCACGAATCAATTAGTCGGTTAGCAGTTAACTACTAAACAAAATACTACTAACCGAAGTCGAACCAATAAGAAATTATCGGTTATCAGTTAAACACTAACGGCCTTTATCGGTTCGGTTTTTGGTTTTAACCGACTAACCGTTTACCACCCCTAAATACTGGTAATGAGTTTGTACGTAGAACCTCATTATTGAGAAGGATATGTTGATATGACTTGAATCTAATTATTTGCTATCGACTGAAATGAGCTATACACGTGCGTTGGGGTTTTTAGTTCCGAGTCTAGTTTATAACCTTATTCTTTACTAGATTGGACTAGTGTTAGCGCGTACGAAGAAGTACTATATATACTTCTCAATCCCTTTGTAATCAACCTATAATCTCTTTAAGCAAAGTGGAATTGGTTCTCTCTTGTCCGCGAACTAACTAACACAATATTGTATTATTAAATCACATAAATATATATGTGTTCTTACTTTCTTTCATTGTTGACTTTCCCGTTCAGTTTTAAGATGGTATGCTTTGGGTTATGTGTATGAGCCATCATTAGTTTCTACCTTCTACCCTAGTGATCCCAAAACCACGAACTAGAGAAATGGAATCTATGAACATATGCAAACTCATTACCCTAGTGATGATGATCATGCATGGATGACTATTGATTGAACAGCCCGACCGCTGAGTAATATTCGATCTGATCCGTGCTAAGTTGGGTACTATCCGACCTACTACAATAGCATGAGGTGCATGAATTGTTACTTTTAACCTATCCTGTCTCGCTCCGCTCCATTATTGACTCGTGCTATCTCAAAAAAATTTAATATATATTTCTCATATTTTGACTTTTTTCAAACATACTTATACCCAATTAAATTCTAAATAGGTAAAGAGCTTCAGACTCAATTATAATTCTATTATGATCGCCATATTCATGAATTGTAGGAGCCAGTGCCGTATGAACAAGTGCAGGATCATAACTAAGAAAGCTAAGTGATCACAAAGGCGTGGAATCAAGGGAGAACTTCATGATCAGCTTGGTTAATTGGTATCATCAATTCTTGTCCTTTTCAGTCTCTATGACTAATGATCTGAAATTTTGGAATGGTATTTTGGTGTTTACCCTTCCTCCATTGCTACCCTATAAAAACCTGTCCCAAAGGGTAATTAAAGACCATCTATCCTCCAATCTAATAAGCAAATCTTCTTACGCTGCCATGGGAAGAGAAGGAAGAAGAAGTCCTCCATCTTCGCGGTTTCTTGCCAAAACGCAATTTGCATATTGTGCCTTCTTCCTTATGATCACTTGCTGCCGTGCTACTCCTGTTCAAGAAAGAAAGGCATTTCTTTTTCTATCCAGCCTTATTACTTCTTTTCACTTAATTTAAATAACATGTGAGAATCATTTGTTACGAATAGAACGAACCAAATCCTCATTTATAAACATGATCACCATCTCCAATCTACTATGGAACTTGTATGTACACATTTACTATATGGAACTTGTATACAGTCATTTGGGATAATGGAATCGTTTAGAAGAGATTAGAAAATAGGACCATATGTTAAAAATAATAGTGACAAGGAGTTTTTGGGTAATAAAGGTGGACTTGTAGGACTGATCTGCACAGTATCAATAAATAGTTGGACTAAACCTGAAATTTCGCTAATGGGCTCTTCGTCGCCAGGTGTATATAGCATACATGGGCAACCGTCCAAACAGCCAAGCTTCTCTTCCCGCGCTACACTTCGGCTTGCTTCACCGCATCATTGGCAGTGCTAAGGTCGCCTCCGATTCCTTGATCTACAGCTACCACCGGACCTTCAACGGCTTCGCTGCCAGACTAACGGAGGCCGAGCATCAGAAACTTTCCGGTGGGTGTTTTTTCCCCCTTCCTCCTTTCCGTCGTCGTCGGAGATTCAATGGCTTACTCTGTTTTCCTTCATTACGGCAGCCTATGAAGGTGTAGTTTCTGTGTTCCCGAACAAGATCGCGAAGCTCCACACTACGAGATCATGGGATTTCATCCGCTACCCCAAGAATGCTTCGAAATCCACCCGCCGCCAACAGAGCAACCTGATCATCGGAGTGCTCGACACCGGAATATGGCCGGAGTCCCCGAGCTTCGACGATTCCGGGTACGGCCCACCTCCAAAGAAATGGAAGGGTAGCTGCCAATCGTCCTCCAATTTCACCTGCAACAAGTAATTAAACAAACACTAAACCCTAACTATGCTCTGTTTTTGTCCGCCCCCAATTTCATAACCTAATAATGGTCTGGAATTTGGTAGCTTAAATTGGAATGGCCCTTTTTCTTTGTAGTAAGATAATTGGAGCTAGGTACTACAATGCGGAAGGAGATTATGGTCCAGGAGACATCCCTTCGCCGCGGGATTCCGAAGGCCATGGAAGTCACACTGCATCCACTGCAGCAGGGAACTTTGTCACCCCTGCTAATCTCTATGGCATCGCCAACGGGACTGCCCGCGGAGGGGTCCCCGCGGCTCGAATCGCAGTCTACAAGATCTGCTGGGCTTATGGATGTTCATATGTTGATATTATGAAAGCTTTTGATGATGCTTGTTCTGATGGAATCGACATGGTCTCGCTCTCGGTCGGTGGTTCGCCGTTGGAGTATTTCCGTGACCCCATTGCTATTGGGGCTTTCCATTGCATGAAGAAGGGAATTTTAACCTCCAACTCGGCTGGCAACTCCGGTCCTTTTCCTGGATCAGTCTCCAATAACTCTCCTTGGTCACTTACTGTTGCTGCAAACACCATTGACAGAAAGTTGACGACCAATGTCATGTTGGGTAATGGCGAAATTTATAATGTGAGGACATGGGAAGTTTCAAGTTTTGTGTTGTTAACTTCATTGTGTTGTATACTATATTAGGGGATTAAGGATTTAACCACAGCAGAACTTGTTTCTTTTCTTTCTACCTCAATCATGCAGGGGAGCTCTCTCAACACTTTTGTGCCCAATAAACCGATGTACCCCCTTATATACGGTGGAGATGCACCAAATAGGACTGCAGGATATGATGGAAACGTTTCCAAGTGAGTAAAAGAAAAATGAGTCTAAAGCAGTTCTGAACCATATCTACAATACAATGCAATTTTAGCATTATCATTACAAAAACATTGCAGGTATTGCTACTCGGGTTCCTTGGATAGAAACCTGGTGCAAGGGAAAATTGTTTATTGTGAGGTTGCCAGCCAGGGAGATGGACCTATAGAAGCTGGTGCTGCTGGTGCCATTATGGGAAACTATCCACAGGGAGATGTGGCGTTTCCTTTCCTTCTTCCAGTGTCTCTCTTGAACGAAACGGATGGAAGCGATGTTTTGACGTACTCGAACTCAACCAGGTACTGCAGAAATGGATTGCTGCACCTTATTGTTGAATGCATGAATGGACATCATGTTGAGTTCTTGTGATTTCTTTTGCCAGTGACCCAACTGCAGTGATTTACAAGACAGTTGACTACCTGGACGGCTCATCTCCTTACGTGGTTTACTTTTCCTCGAGGGGTTACAATCCGATAACCCCTGACATTCTCAAAGTAAAAAATGAAGTAGCTCTCAGTTTTGGTTCTTGTTGTTTTGGTTTCCTTAGCTTAATCTGATAAGATCGTGTATATGCAGCCGGACGTGACAGGACCTGGAGTAAACATACTAGCAGCGTGGTCTCAAGGTACAACTATGACAGGTCAACCTGGGGACACAAGAGTTGTCGCATACAACATCATCTCTGGTACTTCAATGTCTTGCCCCCATGCAACTGGAGCAGCAGCTTATGTTAAATCTCTCCACCGCACTTGGTCCCCTGCTGCCATTAAGTCAGCTCTTATGACAACAGGTGTTCATGTCACTATGGAAATCTATCAGCATCACCCTTTAGCCAATTCTGTGAATAATCTCTAAAGATAGCAAGAAACAGTTTGAAGACAATTTGTACTAATCTATATTTCCTAACATGCAGCACGACCCCTGAGTGCCAAGTATAATCCTGAGGCGGAGCTAGCATATGGGACGGGACAAATCAATCCCATCAAGGCAGCAGATCCTGGACTTGTATATGATGCTAGGGAGAAGGATTATGTCAAATTTCTCTGCGGCCTGGGGTATTCGACCAAACAACTCCGGCTTGTCACTGGAGACCCGAGTGCTTGCACTGCAGCTACAAATGGAACCGTGTGGGATCTAAACTATCCTAGTTTTGCCCTATCGGCAAACAGATCAGGAGTCTCTGTGACTAGGGTATTTCACAGAACCGTCACAAATGTTGGATCAGCAAATGCAACCTATAAAGCCACGGTAACTGCACCAGCAAACCTTAAGGTTCGAGTTAGCCCAAGTGTGCTTAGTTTCAAGACTATTGGGAAGAAAAAGTCATTTGCTTTGAAAGTCTCTACCGTGGTTGGGCAGAACACCATCTCTGGTGTTCTGGTCTGGAGTGATGGGAAGCATTTAGTAAGGAGTCCTATTGCTGCATTTATGTCATCCAGCGAGTGATCCTCAGTTTCTATGGGAAAATTTTAGTTGGTGGCATGTTGGATGCAAGTATATGTTCTGGTAAATAATATTTGCAGTTATAGCAGAATCAAAGTTGTAATGTTACTTTTGATTCATCTACATTGAAATATAATATCATCTTTATCACTCGTTTACTGCCAAATATAATATCATCTGTGCTGTAGATACCTTTCCAAACACTTATATTTTACAGGTCTTTCATCCAGTCGATCACAAGGCAACAGCATTTGAAAAACTACACTAAAACAGGGAGTTACTTCACTTGTAGTTTTTATCTGGACAGATTAAGTAAGGAGGGTGATGTTGGGGAATGAATCCAATATTCCTTCCATAGTCTTAATAAGTTTTAGTCATCACCATAGCTAAACAAGATTTGAAAATTGAAGCTAGCCGGCCGGCTGCTGGCCAGTTGCAGAACGGCATTAGTCAAAGGTGTATGCATAATCTCACCATTTGTAGGACTTAGGGGGGCTCCAAAAGGTACACGGAGAACAGGTACATAAAAAAAACTATGTTTGAATGATCATCGTCATAGAGAAGCTAGCAAGGAATCAATGGAATTGAACGGCAAATGGCTTAGGCAAAGCTTTTGGTGGTTTGCTTCCATGCATACATGATGTATATAAATATGGGTTTTGTTCAAAGCAATATCCCACAAAGTACATTCAACAGAAATGGCGGCAATAAGCATAATCTCGAGGCTTCTCATTCTCAGCCTGCTGGTTCTCCCATTCGTAGTCAAGCTAAGCTCTGCTGCTAATTCCGAAGACGTCCATGGCCGCAAGGTACTTCTTCTACTGCTTCACTACAATGCATGATTGCTCATTAGTTATCAGCTTTCCTAAGATCAATGTTGTCCTTGGTACTGTTCAACTTTGTCAGAGATATATTGTGTACATGGGAGATCGACCAGTTAATGTTGCTGGGGAACTATCTGTAGCTTCCCTTCACGTCAGTATGATACAGAGAGTAGTTGGCAGGTACGTACTTCCAAATTCTCATTAGTCATTAAGAGAAAAAACGACTACTCTACTCATTTACGTAGCTTACCTAGCTGCTTTTAATGGCAAAAATGGATGGATGCAGCAGCAACTTCTCCCCGGATCTACTGGTGAAAAGCTTCAAGAGGAGCTTTCATGGGTTTGTTGTCAAGTTAACTGATAATGAAGCACAAAAGATCGCCGGTGAGTGTTCCGGCTTGATCCCGCTGATACTAATGAACTCGTATGATCTGAATGAGCTGGTTTTGATGCATTGTATTAACGATATGGGGTTTTCAATTTCGCAGCACTAACAGGAGTGGTATCCATTTTTCGCGACGAAAGCTATCAACTCCAGACGACAAGGTCGTGGGACTTCATCGGATTCCCTCAAAATGTTGAAAGACTAGCTCTTGAACGTGACATCATCATCGGGATGCTGGACACCGGAATTTGGCCGGAATCCGAGTCCTTCAACGACACGGGGCTCGGTCCACCTCCAGCCAGATGGAAAGGAATCTGCCAATCTTCCTCCAACTTCACTTGCAACAAGTAACATACATAACATTGCCTTATACCATTTAACTCTTCAACTGCAAAATCTGTTAGCTTGGCAAATACAATAAGAGGTGTCAATTGGGCGGGTTGGTTCAGGTTTGGATTGGGTCTAACTGGGTTGGGTTCAATCGGGTTGTCAGTTCAATCGGGTCGGTTTCAATTTGGATCAGGTTTAATTGGGTTGCAGGTCAATTGGGTTACGAGTCAATCAGGTCACTGGTCATCAATTGGGTTACCGATCGGGTTGGGTTACGGGTGCATCAAATTACGGGTTTATTGGATTGCGGGTTAATTCGGGTTCGGTCAGGTCCGATGATGGGTTATTCGGGTCAACCCATTGGATCATTTACTTCTTGACAGAAAATAATGTTTTACAAACTATCAATATATGAATATAAATTGTAGGTAATGATACAAAATTTAAGAAAATGATAATATGATAATATTTTACACATACAAATTAAATATCCATTATGTTAGTATAAAAACTAAATATAAATAAAATAGTGTATATAAAAGTTTTGTTGTTGGTTATAATTTTTTGTTTATGGTGAGAGATTGTAACTTCACTTATTTTATTAATTTATAATAAAATTGAATCAGTAAAAATTTGAGAATGAAGTAAAAAAGATAGACTATATGCTTATACATCTCGAAATGAATCGTTTTAATTAAATATAGTATGAACTAGATGTGCGTCTCTTCATTTTCACGAAGAATTATGAACATCATTTCGAATCACCCACTTATATATCTTCACAATTTTTCATATATTCACGATAGCATCTCATCTTAAAACTCATGGGTCGAACAACGGTTCGCTCAAATATGATATTATCATCTATTTCGAATCGTCGATTTATTAATTTATAAAAAATAAATAAAATCAGTAAAAAGTTGAGAATGAAGTAAAAAGGGTAAACTATCCACTTATAGTTATATATCTTGATAGAAATCATTGATTTCATTGATTTTGGGGATTTCATTGATTTTCAAGGGTTGATTTTTTTAATATAGTTATTGTTGGTGGAGATACGAATTTGTGTCTAACTCTTCCTATTATCTTCAAAAATTTATTCTTTGAATTTCATAAAATAAAAAATGAATGAAAAGATATTTCACATATTATTATTTTAAAAATTAAATATTTAAAAAAAACCTCAATTTATACCATCAATTCAACAAATAACTTTCAATTATTACGAGAACACCAGTTCTTTCTTGGTAAATTTAAAAATATAATAATGTATATATTGAATTTTTGTACAAGCATTCGGGTCAAATGGATTATTCGGGTTATTCGAGTTGGGTTCGGTTCGGTTACGGGTTATTTGGGTTATGAATCATTCGGGGTTATAAATGGGTCGGATTATGGGTTGGATCGAATAACGAGTTCATCTAGTTATGGGTTGATCGGATTACGGGTCAATTGATTTCGGGTTACGAGCGGGCTTCGGGTGGTTGACTGTTTGTCAAATCGAGTTATGGACGGGTTGTGGGTCGGGTGGGTTGGGCGGATTAGTCGGGTCGGGTTCAATTTTGACAGCTCTAAATAGTAAATACAATTCCGGGGGATGTGGTCACTTGACTGAAATTAGGCAAAATACACTTGTATATCCATAACTTTCACGTTTGTGACAAATATATCCATAACTATCGAAATACACGAAATACCCAATTCCGTCCATTTTGTTAACGGCGTCAGTTGACGGCATAACTAAACTAACGGTAGAAGCTGAGTTGGCGATTGATTTACCCCACCAAATGACGTGTATTATAAAGAAAAAAATAACAAAAATTAAAATACAAAACAAAAATAGAAAGAGAAATATACAGGACTTAAAACCAGAAAAAAACGCCTAAAATAAAAAAATAAAAATGCTCTTCTACCTCTTCGATTTCTCCGCCTAGGGTTTCCCTTCTCCGATTTCTCCAAAACTCGGTGGCTACTTTTTGATTTTCATCGACTCGGGTCCTTTTCTCCCATCCCTGCCGACGAACATGGCTAGCGGTTGCGCCTGCAACTGCGACTCTTCCAACTTGTCGACAACACCTTGTCGATCCCGACGCTCTGGCCGAGGAGGTGGTGCAGATCTAGATCCGCCAAGCTGTTGGCCACGAACCCTTGGAATTCCAATTCCACGTCAATCTTCTCTTCATCTTCTCAACCCATGGCTTCTCGATTTATCCAGCAGTTGAAGGGGAAAGGAAGTGGCGGAGTGGATAGAAACCCTCTGTTTATCTCGTCGACCAAAACAGGTGATCCAGATCTTCCACTGAGGAGGAAGATCGGAGGCGGATCCAGATCTCTTTTGCCTAATAAGCTTCTTCTCAGTGGTAGCAGTTGGCAGGGGAAGAGCCAACTTCTTCTCAAATCCCCAGAACCCGATTTCCCCCTTTCCTCCTTTTGTTTGATGTTGAATGCTACTCTTCGAGGTTGGGTACGGGCAGCAGGGGGAAGGATTTGGTTTGCGACGGGAAATCTCATAAGCTATTAGGTTTAAGAGGAGTAATGGGGGATCTGATTATTAGGTTTAGGAGGAGTATTCGGCGAGCTATGGAGGCTGGAGCTACGGGAGAGAGAAGAAATCATTGGGGCAGAGAGAATTATTATTTTTATTTTTTATTTTTTGCTGACATGGCTCAAATTATGCTGACGTGGAGCTTAGGTGTGAGATGGGTATGGTCCTAGTCAGCGTTCTGTCACATTTACTGACGCCGTAACAAACGGTGTTAAAGTTTTTAACGAAATGGATAGATTTGTCACACGATAGTACGCTTTTCTGGGTATTTCGTGTATTTCGATAGTTATGGATATATTTGTCACAACCATGAAAATTATGGATATAGAAGTGTATTTTGCCCTGAAATTATGACGGCAGAATGTATTTGTTAAATTTGACTTGTTAAGGGATGTGGTAACTGGAAGAAAAATAATTAGAGGAGGGCTTTTTTGCTAGAAAATTAAAAGTTGGGGATCACGAGAGACATCAACCATTTAAATAGCGGATCATCTTATTTTCCCCTTTGGCAGTAAAATCATCGGGGCACGGTTTTACAGTGCCAGGCAGCCGCCGGCGGCGGGCGAGTTCGCATCGCCTCGAGATTCTCAAGGCCATGGAACCCACACTGCATCCACGGTCGCCGGAGGGCTCGCTCCGGCTGCGAGCCTCTATGGGTTCGGCAACGGAACAGCTCGAGGCGGAGTTCCATCGGCTCGAATTGCTGTCTACAAAATCTGTCTCCCTGAGCCCATCGGCTGCCTTGCCTCGAGCATTCTGGCGGCCTTCGACGATGCGATCGCCGATGGGGTCGACATCATCTCGCTTTCAGCCGGGGCTTCTTTCGCCACGCACTACTTCCAAGATCCCATAGCAATCGGAGCTTTCCACGCCATGAAAAATGGCATCCTGACCTCGAATGCCGGCGGTAACGCCGGTCCTGACCGGGGAACCATGGGTAATGTCTCTCCCTGGTCGCTCTCCGTGGCAGCTAGCACCATTGATCGCAGGTTTGTCACTCAAGTGCAGCTTGGAAACAACGTTAGTTACCAGGTATTATCCTTTCCCCTAATTTCATTTCTAGGGGTTTGCATCTGCATTCTTGTTTGATTGCTTCGCTTCTGAATTACAAAGTTTTGACCTTTTGGGGATGTGCTTGCTCTCTTGTACAGGGTGTTTCTATCAATACGTTTGACATGAACGGCACAATGTTCCCTCTCGTTTATGCTGGATATGTCCCGAACACCAATTTGAACTTCACTGGTTTGGAATCCAGGTAATGGCTTTGGCTTTAGCTTCCTTTTTCAAAACTACTACATATGGGTTTATTTTTTTTATGGAGTTCCTGGATCAAGTTTTGATATTGAATCGAACTCGGCTTGTATCTTACACCTCAGGCTCTGCCTTAACAACTCCTTGGATCCACGTCTAGTGAAAGGGAAGATTGTTCTTTGTGCCAAGGGGGATAGAGAAGCACCACTTCAGGCAGGTGCCGTTGGCAGTGTGATGCCAGGTTTTCAGGACGTGGCCGGTCTGTTTCCTATCCCTGCATCTCAGCTTCCTGTTCAGGACATTGGCCAAGTCTTGACCTATATTAACAGAAACAGGTACGAAGACTGCACTTTGATTCTGGTAGTAGGAAGAGATTACGGTGAAAGCAGTTAACCAAAATAATTGAATTTGCAATCGCAGCAATGCAACTGCTACCATAAGGAGAAGTACAGAAGCCACAGATAAGTTGCCATCAATGGTTGCTCTCTTTTCATCAAGGGGTCCAAATACAATCACTCCTAATATTCTCAAGGTACATCTAAAGTTGGAAAACACCATCGAAAGTAGTTCAATCAGGTAGGATCTTGCTTTCTTGGTATAATGTATAATTGCTTGCAGCCAGATATAGCCGCACCAGGAGTAGACATTCTAGCGGCTTGGTCTCCAGTGAGTCCTATAACCGAGTTACCAGCAGATCCTAGATTCTCTTATTACAACATCATCTCAGGAACATCAATGGCTTGTCCGCATGCGACTGGGGCTGCTGCTTATGTCAAATCCTTTCACCCCACATGGTCCCCTTCTGCTATCAAGTCTTCCCTCATGACCACAGGTAAATTATGCAAAGCAGCAGCAAGTTCAGATTTCTGGTCATATTCCTGATGCGGCTTCTAGTTATAATTTCTTACTTAAAACTCCCCTTGTGTAGCTTCTCCAATGAGTTCTGAGGCCACCCCTGATGCTGAACTTGCCTATGGAGCAGGGAAGCTTAATCCTGTGAAGGCTGTGAATCCTGGGCTGATATATGATGCTGAACCAGTAGACTATGTCAAGTTCTTGTGTGGACAAGGCTACAGCACAAGGGTGTTGCGGCTTATAACCGGAGATCGCTCTGCTTGTTCTCAAGCGATCAATCAGACAGTTTTTGAGCTGAACTACCCATCTTTTGCCCTCTCGGTCTCCGGTTCTTCAAGTAATGTCAGCAGAACCTATAAGAGGGTTGTGACTAATGTTGGAGTAGCAAATTCCAGTTATAAGGCGATTGTGAGTGCCACACCTGGGCTGAAGATCCACGTGGCTCCTGGTGTCCTGTCTTTCAATTCTCTTGGTGAGAAGAAGTCGTTTACCTTGAGTATTCAAGGAGCCATGGCTGGGAACATAAGCTCGGCTTCTTTGACGTGGGATGATGGAGAGCATCGAGTGAGGAGTCCCATTGCTGTGTTTTCAACCGAGCTTTAGGACAAATTGATGGAGCTGGCAAAGTGAGGTGCAAGCTGCAGAGGAATGAGGGAAAGCACGGATATTATTCATGAGTCATATTGATAGTTGATTTTCTTATGGGGAAAGGATTCGAAGTTCAATCTTATGTTGCTGTATTTGTTTTTTATTTATTTGATGTAATGACGAATTAGATGCGGAGATGTGGGCAGGACTCAGGATTACCTGATGCGATCCTTTGTTTGAACCTGTGGTTGATGCCGATGTCTGTAATAGGTGAGTGTTCTTTCTTTTGTCATACATACAATTCGTTCCATGTCTGATCGTTATAATGTCTGTTTAATTCTCCTATAAAAGCACTACAACAAAATTGTGTTTGCAGTGGAAAACAAAACATATTAAAGTTAGAAGAAGTTTCTTCACATTAGAAAACATGGGAAAGGCTATACATGCTTCTTTACTTTCTTCATCATGCCTTCTTGTGGTGGTTGCATGCTGTCTAGTCGTGAGTTGCAGAGGCAGTACTGCTGGCAGTGACAACTTACATAGAGACAGAAAGGCATATCCATTGGCTTCCCTTTCATGTGTTTTACTTATGATCATCATGTTCTCAGTTCTTACACATTCCTTTCCGTTCGCCTTGTGTTTGCATTTAAAATATCATCTTTCTCATTCATTGACGACGGAGTTTGCATGTATGGTTGCAGTTATACATTGTGTACATGGGCGACCGCCCCAAGGCGGATGTCCCACCTTCCGCACTCCACCGCAGCTTGCTCCACCGCGCCACCGGCAGGTAAGAAAAACAAGAAGAAGACATTCCACAGCCCATTCGATTTGAAACTTGACATTAATATGAAAATCTGAGTTTGTGTTTCGTCCAGTCTAAGACTTGCAGCAGATTCCTTGGTCTATAGCTACCACAGGAGCTTCAACGGCTTTGCTGCCAAGCTGACCGAGTCCCAGAAGGACAGACTAGCCGGTGGGTCTAGCAAAATTCAACCAACTCATAACAGGCTAACTAATCTAGCTCTTTCAATAATACAATTCTCATTATCCTCTGGCTTTCTGTTTCCAGGATACAAAGATGTAGTGTCTGTGTTCCCTAGTCGGATGAAAAAACTCCACACCACAAGATCCTGGGACTTTCTGGGTTTCCCACAGAACGTCACAAGAGCAACGGTGGAGAGCGACATTATCATCGGAATGCTCGACACCGGAGTTTGGCCTGAATCCCAAAGCTTCAACGATTCAGGCTATGGTCCTCCTCCAAAGAAATGGAAGGGCACCTGCCAGTCCTCTTCCAATTTCACCTGCAACAAGTAATTCACCAATCACCACTTTTGACCCCACTGTCATGACCTTATTTACCTGATTTCATGTAATAAATAAAAAATGCGTTTAATATCCAAGTTAGTGTTTACCATACTTTACTAGCCATTTACTAAAATCTTTTTCCCCCCCTTCTGTGATTTAACTCCTTTTGAGCAGTAAAATCATTGGAGCTAGATACTACCACACTGAAGCCAACTTTACTACAAAAGATTTCTCATCCCCCAGAGATTCCGAAGGTCATGGGACTCACACTGCATCCACTGCAGCAGGCAGCATTGTAACACCTGCCAGTGTCCTTGGCATTGCTTCTGGGACAGCCCGGGGAGGGGTGCCCTCTGCCAGAATCGCTGTTTACAAAATTTGCTGGTCCGCTGGATGCTCCGACGCGGACATTTTAGCAGCGTTCGATGATGCCATCGCAGATGGAGTCGACATAATCTCCCTCTCGGTTGGTGGGTTTTCTGCAGTGGATTATTTTGAAGACTCCATTGCTATTGGGGCTTTCCATTCCATGAAGAACGGAATTCTTACGTCCAACTCAGCTGGTAATGCTGGCCCTGCTCCTAAAACTGTCTCGAATTGCTCTCCTTGGTCGCTTTCCGTGGCTGCTAGCACCACAGACAGAAAGTTTGCGACTAATGTGAAGTTGGGCAATGGAAAGGTTATCAAGGTGAGATGGCTGAATCCTGCTAATTATTGTTTGGCCTGATTTTCTTGCCTTTCTTCTTTTTGTGTTGGGGTTTTCGGGAATTCCTAATTCAAGCACTGCACTACGTACATGGACTCTGTTCCAACGCTACGCTATGCAGGGAAGCTCTCTGAATACATTTGAGCCTGGTCAGAAGATGTATCCCATAATCTATGGTCGCGATGCGCCAAATAAGACGTCTGGTGGTGATGCGTCAAGGTGAACAATTTTCAAGACCTTTATATAAACGTAGTGTTAAGACTTATGACTTATGAGTCAGTAAATCGCAAGGCAATCATGTCAAAAACTGACCCACCCGTAAATATTGTAGGTACTGTTATCCAGGCTCATTGGACAAGGATCTCGTGCAAGGGAAGATTGTGTACTGTGATGATGCTTCCGGTTCCGTAGAGGGACAGATCGAAGCGGGCGCCATTGGTTCTGTAATTCAATCTTCTTCACCTTATGCAGAAATGGAATCTCCATTCCCTTTACCCGTTTCCCTCCTGGGTGCTGCTACTGGAGCTGAACTTCTGGAATACTTAAATTCAACAAGGTTTATATACTCAAACGAACTACATGTAGACTGATACATGATGTCAAAGAAGTGGCTTAACCTCTAACTGCACTATTTGTGACGTACCTGCAGTTATCCAACTGCAGTGATATCGAAGACCTCTGAATACGTAGATTCTAGTTCATCCCCTCATGTGGTGTTCTTTTCATCAAGGGGTCCTAATCCCATAACAAGTGACATCCTTAAGGTAACAATTGACGGCAAAAACACAAGAAGGAAAATTGTCAAATGGTTCGCTAGGGTTTGGATGAATCCTGATGGTTCTTGGATTGTTATTATGTAGCCGGACTTGACAGCACCAGGATTGAACATCTTGGCTGCATGGTCTGAAGGAACCACTTTGTCAGGTCAAACTGGAGACAAGAGAATCGTCCCATATAACATCATCTCTGGGACATCCATGTCTTGCCCCCACGTGTCGGGAGCTGCTGCTTATGTTAAATCGTTTCACCCTACTTGGTCTCCTGCTGCCATTAAGTCTGCTCTAATGACAACAGGTACATATACTGTATCCTGTTCAACTGATGGCCACTTTCTGTGTAGATTACGTATCTATCCGATTATCACATGAGTTTTCTTTCATTTGCAGCTCGTTCGTTGAGTGTCAAAGACAATGCTGACGCGGAGTTTGCATATGGGTCGGGCCAAATCGATCCTGCAAGAGCTGCAGATCCTGGACTAGTATATGATGCAAGGGAGAGTGATTATGTTAAGTTGCTTTGCGGCCAAGGATACACCACAAAACAACTCCGCCTTGTGACAGGAGATCAAATTGCTTGTTCAACGAAGACGAACGGGACAGTGTGGGATCTGAACTATCCTTCTTTCGCTCTATCGTCGTCCACGTCTGGGAACTCTGTGACCCAAGTGTTTCACAGGACCGTCACTAATGTTGGGAAGCCGGTGTGTAGCTACAGGGCGACGGTAAATGCACCGTCGGGGCTTAAGGTTCAGGTTGTGCCAGATGCGCTTAACTTCAAGAGCGTTGGTGAGAAACAAGAGTTTGTTGTGACAGTCACTGCTGCATTGGGGAACTCTACGATCTCTGGTTCTCTGACTTGGAGTACTAGTGATGGCGGCCACATGGTTAGAAGCCCAATTGTGGCGTTTGTGCGTGACTGATGTAAAGCGGTTCAAAACCAAATTTAGATTTTCTCAATGTCGTTAGCAATTCAGTTATCGATTTGTTGATGTTTTCAATATGATTCATGGTATCAATATGGTAAAAAACAATTTGCATATCCTTTTTCTGGAAAAAATCCAAAACTACCACTATTTAAAAAAAATTACAAAAATACCACAGTTTATTATAAACCGCCCCACCAGACAGCGGTTTACATCATAAACGCCTGGTCGACAGGCGGTTTACAATTTCAGGTAAAACCGCTCCTCGAAGGCGCGGTTTATATATGAACCCTACCACAAAACGCTTCGTGAGGAAGCGTTTAAATGTCGGCTTGGTAAACCGCACCACCAGGCCGCGGTTTACCATGTGCAGACATAAACCGCGCCCCCCAATGGCGGTTTGTGCAAAGTAAACCACTGTCCCAAGGCGCGGTTTGTGCATGGTCGCTCGACATCCAACATGTCGGCATGAAGGGGGTGCATGGTAGACCTAAAACCGCTCCCCCCCTGGGCGGTTTGTACTGCAAAATTCGCCTATAAAAGGCTGTTTAAGAGAACTCAAACTCTTCACTCCTCAAAATCTTCACACTCCTCCTCCTTCTTCAAATTTCAGTTGTGCACCTTTAAATTATTTAGTTTTTGCGATTAACATTAATTCGTAAGTTTGTTTTGTATTACTTTTCATTGTCCTTTGTGATTTTATGTTAGTAACTTAATTACAGTTTTATTGCAGATGACATTCCAAAAGTTCACGCTTGGGTTGCGGTGGAATGGTTACACAGAAGAGACCGAAAATGGTGTAAGTTACGTCGGTGACAATTTTTATAAAATGAAGGTCCGTACGAGACCGATGCTTGAAGAGCTCCATCAAATGTGCACTCAAATTACCTGCATGGATGGCACTAGAAGAGTTGATCAAATGGTGTATCGATATCCAAACAAACATGATGGGTCGCTGTGGAATGAGGAATTCCTCCTTACCACTCAGGAGGACGTTGATGCCATGGTCCAATTTTTGACCACCAATAAAATTAAGCAAGCGGAGATGTTCGTTTACACCGAGGCCGTCAAAGGCTGTGTAGGTCATTCTGGAGATGGCCAAACATCTGGTATCCACGGTGGGAGTGTATTATACGAAGATCATCCCCACCAGGAGTACCAAGACTCGAGCTGGAGGCAGGAGTATCATGATGGAACTGGAGGTCATCATACCAGTACCCACCCGAGTACAACTTCTACCAAAGTGGTGTTAGTTACCACAACTACCATTACGGAGCTGGTGAAGGTGAAGGTGCCTTTCATGATGATAATCAGATAGAAGAAGAGGTCAATCTAAGTCCAGTTAGTGACCCTGAGGTTGAAGAAGAGGAAGGCGATGTTAGTGCAGACAGCTTCGATTATCTGGAAGGTGCTGATGATTCCGGTCCAGATTCAGACGCAGACGGTGATGAGGTACCTTGCGACCGTGTACCTATCTCGTACTAGAATCACATTCAAAATGAAGATTGGTATGTTGATGCCGACATGGACCCGCCAGAGGTGCCAATATGGGGTCCACTCACAGGCTTTGCGAAGGGCCAAAAATTTGCAATGAAGAATGAGGTCCGGCACGCTATTGCCACTGAAGCAATGACTCGGAAATGAGGGATGCAAAGATAGGGTCCGGGCCATCAAGAGCAAGAGAGTCGGCCATTGGGTCATATCCCGTGCGGTGAACACACACCCATGTGTGTCATCAATAACATCCCAAGGCCATCGACAGTTGAAATCAAGGGTGGTTGCCGCGGCTATCAAACATCTAATTGAGGAGCAGCCCGACCTGAAGGTGAAAACCATCATCGCCGACATTTCTAGTCGTTATGGTTATATCATTAACTACAAGAAGGCGTGGCATGGGAAACAGAAAGCAATGGCCGCTGTGTTTGGTGACTGGGAAGAATCATATGCATTCCTTCCCAAATTGATTTTGGCGTTGGAGGTGTCTAACCTTGACACCATTTTCTCGCCTCGCTACCAAGATGAAGAAATTCAACCGCCGGTGCCTGGTAACAAGCGCCATTTCAAGCGTCTTTTCTGGGCATTCAAGCCATGTATTGATGGTTTTCCATACTGTGTTCCTGTGATTCAAGTTGATGGAACATTCCTTACCGGCAAGTACAAGGGTACTCTACTGATCGCCAGCGAAGCAGATGCAAATAGAGCAGTATATTCATTAGCATTTGCCATTGTGGAGGGAGAGAATACCGATAGCGATGGATGGTTCTTCATACAAATTCAGCTCCATGTCACCAGGCGAACGAACATGACTATCATCTCAGATCGCCACGCCGGTATACGGGATGCTATCTTAGGCTTGGATCCAGCTTGGAACTGGTCACAGAGATGGTGCATATGGCATTTCAAAAGCAACTGGAACCATCATTTCAAGCGAAAGAAGCTTGCTGATAGTCTATGGTGGATCGGTAAGCATTCTAATTAATTGTTATATATATTTTTTCAACTGGATAAAACGAGGACTAAATCAATACAATACAATACAACACTTATTTAGACTCTTTATAAAGAAATGCATGTCTAATGAAATGGGGACTTAAGCGATCATCATGATCCCCCCATGACCTGGGAAAATCGGGTTCTAAGCGATCCTCGGATCCCCCCTTTTTCTGTCAAACAGGCTGTGTTTCTAAGGAGATGTATACCTCTCCTAAGAGTCTTACGAGTGTACTTGTATTGAGGGTAATGTCGGTCTTGCTTACCTTACGTTTTTGTTTGATATTCATCAGCTGTCGCTTACCAAGAGAAGAAATTTAAAGAGAAGATGCAAAATATCCGTCAGCTATGCCCTGAAGGTGCGCAGTGGCTTGATCAACATGACCTTGCAATGTGGACGTTTCATAAGGACGGAGGTACCAGATGGGGAATGTCGTGCACTCCCCATCTCTGCAATTGTTGAGATGACATTCTGGAAAACAAACGGATGGTTCGTCAACCGTCTCCACTAGTGTGAGAAGAGGGAGGCACAGGGTAAGGTACACTCCGATCATGCCACAAAAATAATGGAAAATGACAATCGCAAGAGCTCTCGTCACAAAGTCACTGTTATGAACCGAAATGCTGGCAAGTATTCGGTCGAGACTGGGCACTGGGAGGATGGGAGACGTGGGGGTCATCGTCATGAAGTCACCGTCAACTTTAGGACTAAAAAGGGGGAGTGCTCTTGTCAGAAGTACCAGGGTAGAGGTATACAATGGATGTGATGCGCGACAATGCGTTCTGGATACAGATCGAACTTAAGCTACGAAGGTGCAGAAAAAATGGACCATTAAGAAACATAATAATATAAGTTGAAAAAAATGTAGGAAGTAATAGTGTATTATGATGGTCACCTTTGCTTCCCAAAGGCGATCCAGCCTCCTACGATACTCCTCCAACTTATGTGCTCCTAGGTTGTCGCATGTTTTTTCACCAAGCCACCTATTCAATCCAAAAAGTACATTATGTTAATACATAATAGCTGGTTCGTTATAAAATACCCAATTAGTAAAAAAGGTGAGAACTATGAGGGGGATAGAAAATATTTACCTACAACCATAAGCTTCATGTCGTAGGGGATGGTCGGGTCCCCATTCCTTATCGGGATCTACCTTCGGCTCAATCCATGGCAAATACTCCCAAGCCAAAAATTGGGTGATGAGCATGGCCCCATCAGTCTCCTTCACCGCTCTCGCACGAGCATTACAGAGGGAGCGGTAGAGATGGCTAGGCAAGCAGATGTCCAGCTCAGGTTTCCCATATCATCCCAACTCCCAAGTATGATCTTCAACCATGAATTGTTGATTAAATTTTTGGATTTCTTGGGGAAGAAAACTCCTCCGATCATGCCGAGGATGTAGATACGTGCATAAATGTCTTTATCACGCTTCGAACTTTCCTCCTTAAGGGAATGCCTCCGAACTCAGGGTTGTGCTTACGCCTGATCTCCGCTGTCAACCAAGTGATGGATACTTGGCCCTTGGACAATGGTGGATTACCATCCGCATCGTGATCTCCCTTTTCTGGAGGATACAACCCGGTGGACGTCCATATAAAATGCTGCCAACCACTCATATTGGCAACAACTTTAGGTGGTGGCGTAGAGTCCACACAAATAACATCAAAATCGATGGGCAAATCGGTTAGGATGGCGATGTCCTTAAGTGTGATGGTGCACTCGCCTTCACGAACATTGAAGCAGTGTGTCTCCTTTCGCCATCTCTCTACCAATGCTGTGATGAGTTGGCGGTCGATCTTGATTCCATTAAAGTGCCTAATCGAATCCAATCTTGCCCTTTTTAGAAAGGGCAAGATGACGTCGTTCCATTCAAGCACATTCGTCGTGCCCCTATAGCGGACTATATGGTATGCATCATAGAGAAGAATTTAACTTTCACTATAAGTTGATGATTTATACATATATAAATATATTATAAGATGCAATATTAATTAAATCAAGGCTGTTTTAGAGAAATATACATTATCTAATAAACATTAATTTTAACATAACGAAAATAATTTTTGAAATTTAAGTACAATTATTTTTTTGTACACATACACATAAAATCAAATATATTATTTTGTTAATCGTATTGATTATTTTCAATAATTTAAAGCAATACAAGTACACTCTTAAGACTCTTAGGAGAGGTATACATCTCCTTAGAAACACAGTCTTTTTGACAGAAAAATGGGGGATCCGAGGATCGCTTAGAACCTAATTTTTCCAGGTCATGGGGGGATCATGATGATCGCTTAAGTCCCCATTCCCTGGGTAGAGTGAGGAGTTAGAGAGAGAGGGGGAATGAAGTTTGGTGTGCAAAAATGGGAAGGGGTAAGGGGTTTATATAGGGACGAAACCGCGTGCTGGAGGGGCGGTTTCGTCTTTTTACCCCACTTAAAACCGCGCCTTCAGCGCGTGGTTTACGTTCCCCAATGCGCAAATCGCGCCTCGGGGCAAAGGTTTGACTTAGCGACGCGGATCGCTGAGCTGGCGCGCGGTTTGGCCGTCAGATCGCTTCCCCATCGCGCGGTCGCATGAGCCGCCACATGGCAACGCGGTTTGACATAATGGAAGGGTCAAACCGCCTATTGAACGCGCGGTTTGACTGTG